GCTTCAGCATTATATTGGTGTTTTAGTCGAAAAGGTAAACGAGAAGGACATTTTCCAAATCGTCTGGTAAACCATTTAATTGTATATTTTATCAGAGATAGTAGTTGATCATGCTAGTGATATAAGTAATTAAATTTTTTCACATGCATGGTTTAGTGAAATATCGGCATTCCCTTGGATTAATCCAAAGGGCCTAATAAAACCCAATTAAGCAATAATTAGAAACACAAAAATCACTCACCATTCGCAACAAACAAGAAGAAAAACGAACATTTTTTTTGACATTTTACCCTTAATTCCATCATTTTTTGAAATCGACTAGCTTAAATCAAGGAATTGAAGTAATGGTCCTAAAAGAGTAGTTTGGAATGTCTTTGAGCTATCTCAAAAGAGTGAGAAGAATTGAAAGATCTCTTCCCTTGCCTTTTTCCATTCATTAGCTACTTTCTTCGGGTAGGCCATCTCTTTTATTTTATGAAGTCAATTGTCCATGTGCCCAAATCAATAAAGGTTATTCATCCTTATAAACATTCCATTTTGTTCAAAGTTATATTTAAATTTCTAGATATATTTATAGGGTTTTTAATTTTTAGGCATTAAAGTAGTGTTTGATATGAGGTGATTACTCTCAAAATCTACACATAATAATTAGATCATTGTGTTTGGTAAATACTTGATAATTCTATATGATGATGATTTTAAATCACTAAAAGTAATTAGATCACTACCTTGGAGGGTGATCTAATTTCTCATATAAAATGATAAAAAAATTTATCACTGAGATGAAATAATATGTAAAATTAAAAATTATTAATTTTACCCATTTAATATGTGAATTAAAATTTTATTACATCTTAAAATTGTAATTATTTGATATTATAAATTTTTATATTTTCAAGCTAATATTCACTATAACAAGTTAAAAATAAGTTGTATATGTTTTTACATTTTTTTAATGTTGTATATATAATATAATTTTTAATTTTTCTTATATTATGAATTTAATAGATTGGTTTCATTTTCTAATTTAAATATTTTTTTCATAATTTATATTGTAAAAATAGATTTACCTATCAATAAATATATTTATTAATTTAACAATTTAATTATTTTTAATTATAAATAATTATAAATAAATAAATATTACTAATATTTTACAAATCATTATCTTTAAACAATCATAAAATTATTCAATTATGTAACTATTACATGGTTATTTTTGTACTTTTAAATAAAATAATATTTAATTTTTAGCAGTACAAAACACAATGATCTTTAATTTTTAAGAATTAATCATTGTTAGCTAAACAAAATGATTTCAAATCATAAATATTAAGATCATTTTGATAATAAAATTATCCCGATAATTATATTACCATGATGATCTTGCAAAAGATACCAATCGGAACCTAAATGGCTAATTGGATCTGGAGTTCGCTTTGAGCATTAGGTCCAGCATTTTGTTTATTTTATTTTTTAGTTTATTATGTTAGAAGTAAAGGTCTGAAATATACGGATTAAGCAAAATTTGTTAGGATCAACTTCTA